ACCATGTCCATTTCCAACATCACGATCTTCATGCCCTCTGTGTTGACACTAGTAGGAATCCCAGGTCTAGAGTCTGTGCAGTGCTGGATTGGGATCCCATTCTGTGCCATGTACCTCATTGCTATGATTGGAAACTCCTTGCTTCTGACTATCATAAAATCAGAACAAAGTCTCCATGAGCCCATGTATATTTTCCTAGGCATACTAGGAGCCACAGATATTGCACTTGCTACCAGCATAATGCCCAAGATGCTTGGAATCTTCTGGTTTCATGTGCCAGATATCTATTTTGATGCCTGCTTTCTCCAAATGTGGCTCATTCACACATTTCAGTGCTTTGAGTCAGGGACTTTGTTGCCCATGGCCCTGGACCGTTATGTTGCCACTTGTTATCCACTAAGACATGCCACTATCTTCACCCACCAGCTAGTAATCCAAATAGGTACTGTGGTAATAGTCAGGGCTGCCATTCTTGTAGCTCCATGCCTAGTACTGATCAAGTGCCGGCTTAAATTGTATCACACAACAGTCATTTCTCACTCCTACTGTGAGCACATGGCTATTGTGAAACTAGCTGCAGAAAATGTGCAGTTCAAGAAGATCTATGGTTTGTTTGCGGCCTTCACTGTTGCAGGGTTTGACCTCACATTCATCACTTTGTCCTACATCCAGATATTGACCACTGTTTTTGTTTGCCCCAGAAGGAAGCTAGATTGAAAACATTAGATACCTGCATCACTCATATCTGTGTCTTCCTCCAATTCTACCTCCTGGCCTTCTTCTCCTTCTTCACACACAGGTTTGGTTCTCATATCCCCCCTTATATCCATATTCTCTTTTCTAGCATTTACTTGCTTGTCCCTCCATTTCTCAATCCACTTGTTTATGGTTTAAAAGTCAAGCAGATTAGTAGTTATGTGGTGAAAATATTCTGTCCTAAAAATACCTGATAATTAATACATTCATGATTTCTTTGTTCAACAATAGTCACCTCTCAAAACAAAGCAAACATCCACATTATTTGAGATGTTTTAATTTTCCTTTTAACTAGTTTCTGAAATTTACCAGCATGAAAGTAGGTTTTCATGTCAGCATAACCTATGCCAGATATCATTCAATAAGATTGTGGCTCCTATCTGGGTAATGAAAATGAGAAATGTTTAAAGAACATCATAATGCACTTTTTTCCTTCTTTTTTCTAATTATTAGTTCCTTCTGGAGGTTCTTCCTCTAAGTATCTTCCCAAAGAAGGATTCATGAATTATGTCTCTTATAATGAAATGAAAGACATCCAAATCTTCTTGCTCCAGATTGTCGAGGTAGTTAATGCAAACAATTTGTTGACACTATTACCAGTATCTCAGTCATTTCCTTAAAATAAAAGTCAGAGCTAATCTCAGATCTGCTTCTATCAAACAACCCATTATGAATCTGATAAAGCAATTATGTCTAAACATTTAAATGTATTTTCAAAATAATTCAAGATGTTGCAACCCAAAGTATAGGAGAACTGAGTTGGCCCACCTTCCACATAAATATCGTTTCCCCTATCTCTACCATTTGCTTATTTATTTAATTGAACAAGTGTTTTCAAGTGTCTAAAATTTTATAAATGTTATGCTAGAGAATAATGATATTCAACACAGTGGTTATTTTTCATGGATCTTTAGACTTTAATTCTTGGAAGAGAGAGGAGAAACAATTGGAGAGGCATCCATGAGACATAGGATTTGCAAAAAGATTGATACATAGCAGTAAGGATATATTTTTGGTTTTTATTTGTTTTCTGTCTTTTCAACTAGTCTGCTTCTTGAGAAATGAGTAATGATGAACGAGTAGCCAAAGATGTAAGGGCCCACCACACCAAGTTCAATGTTTGAGAACATGTAAACTAGAGAATGTGGGTTAAGGAAATTCCACAATTTCTTTTTATTTCAAACATGGGCTTAAGATAAGGTACAATTTTGGGAGTTAGAGAATGGTGACTTTCAAAAATGGCCATGAATGCTTTGAAAAGTTGCTTGGACTTTATCCTCAATGTTATCACGTGTTATTGTAGGGTTTTTCTCCACATGAAAGTTTCTTGTATATGTGTGTGTGTGTGTGTGTGCTTGCCTTCTTGGCCATTTTCATAGTTTTCTGGATATACAATATTGTGTGTCCAATAAAATAACATATTTACAATTGCTAGATATTGAAAATTATAAAATTTCAAAGATAGAAATTATGAAGACCTAAAGAAGTAGCTATACTTCCATGGTGGATTGGAAATCTCAAGCTTGTTAATTCTCCTTAAAGTGATCTGAAAGATCAAAGGAGTCTTAAGTAGAATAATAATTTACTTTTTGCATGAAATGAAAAATATAAAATAAGTCAGGAGTAGAATGTTGGATGAGAAAGTAATAAAATGGTAATTGCATGATTAGGACATGTGAAAATGATCCAACATCTAGCTTGAAGTGGCTTCTTCTAGCCAAATTTATTTTAGCTTGAGTATCAATAGAGATAATGATGGTAATGGATTATAGCCCATGGAATAAAGTCAGATTCCTTATGTCCTTTGAGATATGAATAAAGCAACACATGCAGAAAAGGTGAAGCAAAAAATTCCTTATAATATAGCGTCAAAATGCATGATAAACATAGAAGGAATAATGGAGTAATAAGATGAAGAGAGGGAGCTCTGGTAGCATAGTGGCTAAGACACTTGCCTGCTAACCAGACGGCTGGCGGTTCAAACCCACCAGCCACTCCTCAGAAGGAAGGTTTAGCAATCCTACTTCTGTAGTGATACTGCCTCGGAAACCCAAGGAGGGGTCACTATGAGTCGGGTTTGACTCGACGGCACATAACAACAACAACAACAAAGATGAAGAGAAGTTTTTTACACAGGTAAATTTATATTTCCATATTTTCACATATTGCTTATGAATTAAAGTTAAAAAAACAGAATTTTACAATGAAGAATTCTGTATGACATTCCATTAAGCAAGTGCTCAACATTACTATCATTAACACTAGCAAGCAGAGGCATACTATGATTCCTATATGAGCTATAGAGAAAGGTCACATTATTCTGTGATACTCAAAACAAAAACAAATAAAACACATGAACAAAATGAGCAAATGAAAATAACCTGAATCTCATCATGAAGAAATATTGAAGGAATCCACATGAGGGACATTCTTAGTATAATAATAAATATCTGGGTTCTTCAAAAATACCAACATCAGGAAAGAGGAATGGCTGAGGAACTGTCACAGATGAAAAGAATCCAAAAGACATGAAAATTAAATAGACGGTGTGATCCTGGATTGGATTCTGGACAAAATAAAATGTAGCCAGAAAAGCCCTTATTGGGACAACTGTCTAATTCTGCATATGGACCATGTTTTAGGTTATAGCATCATCATTTCAATGATGAATTTCCTGATTTTGGCTTTGATAGTATGTTTATGAAATAAAGTGTCCTTCTCGGAAAATACACACTGAAATATTTAAGTGTGTTTGTATGTATGTATCTATCAATGTATCTATAACCAATAGAATGATAAAGAAAAAAAGGACAAATTATAAACAACTTGTGAATCCAGGTAACTGTTATAAGGGGTTTCTTGTATTTTTTTTTTTCTTTTTTCAAAAGTTTTAGGTTTAAAACGACAGCAATATAAAGGTTAAGAGTCTTACACTATTCCTCAACACATCTATTATTCAGAAAAAGGCACTAATATAACTTGAGCAATTCAGAAATCTAGTTGTTTAATTTGAAAGTGCCCTCAATTTCATATTTTGTACCTAACAAGTCACGAAGTTCTAGCGATTATTTTAAAAATAATTCTCAAATATGTTCTGCTTTCTCTATTAACCTATCACTCCTCTCCTTTTTCA